AACAGAGCCAGGCAGGAAAGAAGGTCCCAGTAAAACAAGCACTCTACTTCTAAAAGTGGTGGCTGTGAGCTCATCCAGTCATTCTTACCAATGAGTGAGCAAACAAACTCTACATGTTTACCCGCACCCAGCCTCCACCAGTCAGGGCTCTGGTCTAAACATGGAAATCAGAGCATGCCACTGTCACTGTGTCCCCACTGTATTTGTCATAAAACAACACTTTCCATGCTCCTTAAGGCCATAGAAACCTGGCCCTCGCCTTTCACGCTGAGTCTCTGAGGGGGCCAAGCTGCAGCCCCTGGTTTGCTCTCTGCTCCTTTAACAAGCCCATTCCAACCCCAGGACCTTTATACTTGCTGTGTGTCACTCTGACAAAATGCTCATCCCAGATCTGTGGATACCTATACAGAACCTCCCTCCTTTTCACTTATATCATTCCTCATCATAGGGATCTAGCCTGCAGTCTTCCCTGCACTATTGCTATGGCAACTGCAGAACATGGTCTACCTGGTTCTCTGTGCACCTGTGCCCAGGCCAGCTGGAGTGGTTGGCTGCCTTACATAATGCTCAGGGTGGACCTACAGCACCAAGTCACTGGTAGCCTCTTGGGTTACCCTCAAGTCTTTTTTTTTAAGGTCATGGGGCTTGAACTCTGGGCCTGGGGACTGTCCCTGAGCTCTTCAGCTCAAGGCTAGCACTCTACCACTTGAGCCACAGAGCCACTTCCTATTTTCTGGTGATTTTACTAGAGTTAAGAGTTTCATGGCCTTTCCTGCCCAGGCTGGCTTTGAACTGAAATCCTCAGATCTCAGCCTCCTGAGTAGCTAGGATTACAGGTGTGAGCCACCAGTGTCTGGCTCCCACAAGTCTTTAAAAGCAGTCTGGAGGGCTGGAAGGCTACCTGGCTTTGCTACCAGTTATAAACAAGAACTCCATAGCTGATCAGGACACTGAGACACTGTCACCATTTGCCAGGAGGCAAATAATTCTAAATATTAATAACACTCTGATTTATGCAGACACTGGGAAAGCACACCTGTGGACCCAGTAACCCAGTCCTCATGGGACATGGTGATCCAGCATGGCTCTTCCAACACCACACTCCCTCTGCAGCTGGCACCTGGGGGGGTGGGGGGGCAGCGTTGCACTACCTGAACTTTAAGTCAGAAGCTCATCGCGTCCCCAGCCAGTCACCACTCCCTGACACACAGTCAGCCTCTGTGTCCATGGTCCTCCAGTGACTGTGATGGCAGACCACCGCACTGATTCACTGGATGTACAGCAGCACAGGAAATATACTAGGTCCATACTTAGCCCGAGATTTGGGAATTCCCTGTTACCTCAATGTAGAACCTTGGTTATCTTCACTTACATGGCCATACAGCAAGGTGACCAAGAACAGGGACTTTAGAATTTGATAGGCTGTTGTTTTTTAACTCAGGAACTTGTATGGTAAACACTGTATTACTTCAGCCATGCCTCCAATACTTTTTGCTTCACCTATTTCTTAGATAGGGTCTCTTACTTCGGCCTAAGGCCAGCTTCTGAAAGAAATGCTCCAAGCTAAGATTACAGATGTGTGCCACCACACTCAGCTTGTTCTCTGAAGTTGGGTCTTACAACGTTTTGCCCAGGCTGGCCTCCAATCACTATTTTTTTCACCTCTACCTCCCGAACAACTGGGATTACAGGCATAAGTTACTGAATCCAGCTCAGGCTGAGTCTGTCTGATGTCAAAGCTCTGTCAGTAATGGAATCATCACTTCTCAGGCCTTAATGTCTTCATCACAAAATTAAGTTCTAATCACTATGAGTAGTTACAAAGATTGAATCAAAAGAAAACATATTCTGTGTCAGAGTGCCGACATGCATGCTAAACACTCTGTAGCTAGACAGCAATTAGTATTAAACTCCAGCATATCTAACCTAAGCTACCATCTGTGAACATATCTAGAAGGAGTAGAACACGACAAAGTTACACTTGTTCTCAAGGTGGCTTGACTTACCATATTCAGACTTCACCATATGTCTATCAGGATGCAACCCCACACACGGTTGAGAAGCACCTGCCCTGGGCTGTGTGTGAACTGCCAATGAAGGAATGGCAGACAGCTGCGATTTAAAATGGAGAAGCAGAAAGGGGGACATGAAGGCTTCTGCCCACCAACCAGGCACAGGGCAAGGGCACAGCAAGCAGGAACAGAGCTGACATGCAAAGCAAGCTGGGCTTTACTCTCAGAGGAAGAGAGATGGCAAAAGAGTAAAGAGTGAATAAGGAGCATAGGGAGCTGGGCTCAGTGGCTCCCCCTGTAATCCTCACTACTTATAGCAGTATGGAAGATCATAGTTCAAAGGCAGCCTGAGCAGAAAAGTTCTCAAGACTCTACCTCCAATTAACCAGCAAAAAGTCAAACTGGAGGCGTGGCTCAAGTGATAGCACGTCACCATGAGCAAGCAAGCCCAGCAAGTATGAGGACCTGAGCTCAAATCTTAGAACAGAAAAAAAGAAAAGAAAAGAAAAAGAGAAACAACCACAACAAAACTGTGCAGCCATGGAAGAAAGCAAACACACATACACTGGGACCTTTGTGGCGGTCCATGCAGGGTTCTGAGAGGAGAACTACCTTAGATGCAGATACAACACGTTCAATGGTCAGAACACCACTTCAACGGTCAGGCTTACAATACCGACAGTGCTGGACTCCACTTTCCTTCTAAAGAAATTGCTTGCAAGCAATCTGGCACATCTACACTTGGGATGCTTCAGCACCTAAATCTCAACTGGCACTTGTGAAAGTAATGTCTTCAAGATCACACCCACCGGGACAGATCTGACAACTAAAATTCCCAAGCGAATGCCTGCCAGTTCCCAGAGAATATCCCAAGTGTAAAATAACCACTAGCATTGATGTTACAAGTCAGTCAAACACAAATTTTGGTATAGAATTATTCTGAAGTCTTCAATACATTGAAATGAACATTTTCATGGGCTCAAAATGACTAATACAAGTGAAAACCATAAACTATCCTGAATTATTTTTTTTTTCTTTTCCATTTTGTCAGTCATGGGTCTTGAACTCTGGGCCTGGGCGCTGTCCCTGAGCTCTTCACCTCAATGTGAGCACTCTACCACTTGAGCCACAGTGCCACTTCCAATTTTCTGGTAGTTAATTGGCGATAAGAGTTTCACAGACTTTCCTGCCCGAGCTGGCTTTGAACCACGATCCTCAGATCTCAGCCTCCTGAGTAGCTAGGATTACAGGCGTAAGCCACTGGCGCCGGCTCTGAATTCTTAATTTTTAAAAAAACAACAGGGTCAACTACACAGATACATTTTATGCCACAACATAACCATATCTTAACAGCACACAGCTAACGACAAAGTGGGCCTAATTTTCCTAATACAAATAAAACGTTCATTACTAGCAGACTCCTTACATCACACCCAGTGAGCAATATGCTGGTCATCAGAATGAGAGAAGCCCATCCACTGATGCCACATGTGCTACTAGAGAGGAGGTCTGCCCACTGATAGAACATCTGGCATCAAAGCAGACCTCTACATCTGATATTAAAACTTGTCAAAAGTAAAGGAAGATTGTAAAAGAGCCAAGAAAAAGATATGCTTATTTCCACAACTTTTGAATAGTGTGCAGACTTCTATAAACACAGATTCATTTGATATGTGGAATATTAAAGCCAAACACACCAAAAATATTACTCACCTCATGCGATAGAAGAACTAATAAGCCTAAGGTCAAATCTTTAGGCACCTCAACGTGTGTACAGCGATGAGACTCAACAGAACAAAGCACTTCTAGGTTCTACTCTGGAATCGTTCACTAACTCAGTAGAGAAGCAAACTCATTTGGTGACCAGATTCACATTAGGAATCAATCTTAAAATAGGAAAACAAACAAAACTTTTGGCATCTAAGCCTGTAACTGTGCCGGTGAGGGCCTGACTATCTACTCTGTTCTTTCTTCCCTCCCCCTTGCCATTCCAGACATCACAGGCCTTCAAATGCATGTCAGTAAATCTCCAAGTTTCAAATAATAAAAACCATGTGCCCCATGTGTTTCCCGGACTCACTCTTTATGATGGAGACGTCGGCAGTAAAATAAACAGATTTCTGATAGAGAAAAATAATGAAAGGAAATCAAAAGAATCCATTCCAAAAATGTCCCACCTCCTAATGCTACAAAGAGTGAACTTATTGAATGTGGCTGCCTGATGAAGCTGGACATGTGAGTTCTGGTTAGGAGCCTCTGTACACGGTAAAAGGTGTCTCAAGTCTCCACTGATGGACGAGGAATGAGAAACACAAATTGTTTCCAAGTCTGAGAGCTCTGAGCAAAGCAGTCAAATACATGACATAGGTTTTTTTTTTTTTAAAGTGTATTTACTAAGATTTTTAAGACAGTATGTTTCTGACACCCATAAATTTTTGCAACTGCAAGTATATTGACACCAGAAAAAAAGAACAGTACTCTAGAAAACATAAAACCCTTGTAACAGACACTCTTAATGTTGTAGATACAGCCAGAGCCCCTTCTAGGAAGAGGATTTTCCAAGACAAAAGACTTAAACATTTGTGTTTGCTCCACTGCAATCTCCAAAAACAACATCAATATTCCCTTTCCAATCAATGGAAACTTATAAAACAGAAAGTGCTAAAAATGAAAGTTGAGTAAACTTCAAAGCAAAAAAAAGGAAAGGAACCTCACACTGGGGAGGGTGGGAGAAGGTGAAACCAAAGTCTGAACTAAAATCCCTACTACGAGTGAGACGCAAGGGCTCCGGCACTGCCAGGCCAGGCCCAGACGCAAAAAGCCCATGCCACACCAAACACACATGATGAGGGAACACACGGATGCATGGTGTGAAGGAACAAAAATGAACATCTGGAGGAGGAATGTGGGTGGTGCTATTTTTTTTAATCAAGAGCTGGTCTAACATCTAGGTCATGAATTCATATAAATTTTTATTTTTAAACTCACCTGATTCATTTTCAGTTCCTGTTGTGTTCTGAAAAGATACACACAACAAAGAAACTTCTTTGATTACATGAGCCCTAAAAAGAAAAACAGACAATTGTAATATGTACCTACCTACAAAGGTACAGTGATTTAAAACCACATACAGAACTGCAGTTTGCTCAGGGGACATTCACACAGATCACCTTCCTGCTAGGCTATGCTGACAGCTCACTACTCAGACTCCCTTCCATATAGCAAATGCATTTCCTATGATCCTTGCCCAGCCCTCAGTTCTTTGGAACTGCATCATATATTTGCTCAGGAACTGCATCATTCCTAAGAAGTGAATTAGCTTTATTAATAGTCCAAAGCACAAAGCACTGAGGAGTGGCCTGCAGTGCCTCTCCCTTCCAGTAATGGGCTACATGCAAACAATGAGACCCCATTATATTCCTGTTTCTCCAGTTCTGGAGGTTGAAAGGCAGATTTACTAACTGGCTGCAGTAAATTCCCCTTGAGGAAAAGAGTATAAAACCTGCAGTAAAATGCAACTGTTTTAACAAAAAAGAGGTTTGGAAAGAGCTACAAATGAGCCACACAATTCATGTTCAACATATTCACAGTATAGCAATGGATGGGCCATACACAGAAGATAGGCCCCCAGAAGATGATCTTGCCTCATGATGCCACAGTTGTCTCTACAATGTATAGCACACTGATGATGGCCACAGGGACAAAGCTGCCTAATGATCTTCTCAGAACATACCCTGTCCTTAGGTGGTGCTTGACTGCATTCGTTTCTAGGAAATAATGCAGATGGCCCTTTGTACAGTACATGTCTCCAGTCACCTGACGTTCACAGTATATGAAAAGCACACCACTTTAAGTAGAACCATTGTCATTTCTAAATGTTTCCAGTACTTGCACGCATTCATACATACCCCATAAAGTCTAATTCTCATTTGTTCATGCAGTTGCGAGAAATCACTTCTCTCTCCTTCCTTGTACCAGAAACATGGTTATACTCTAACCTCCTGTTCCCATTGTGAATAACCCAAAGAATATGTAACTGAATAGCATTCTTCATGCTGCTAACAATACCCTGCCTCCTACCATCAGAAAGAACTTGGCTTTGACATTTTACCTTTTGCTCAGTTCTGCAGGAAGGAGAGCTGTGTTTTGTTTTCTTGAACTACCATTAGCAAGGAAAGGCACTTGTATTTAAATGAGGGCTAGTTCACCTGTTTTTTAATGTTACAGTATGGAACATTGCATCTTGAAAGTTACATCCTGAAAGAGGTTCCTACTGGCCAAACCAATACAAACTCTATATGCAAATAGCCACAGAATGAAAAGTCAAGATAACAGAAAGATAACCCATGAAATCCACATCCATAAGGCCTAATGCTGAGCATCTTTTTTTATATTTAATGTCCCTTACTGTACACCACAAATTGAACACAACCAATTCTAGTTGGTTTAAAATGGTTATATGTGTATTTGGCTATAAAAAAAAGCGAAAGGTTCAGGGTCTCTAAGATTACACAGCTGAGGCCCCAATCATAAATGCCCACTGAGCACCATCAGTTCCACGCGGTGGTCCTGGTGGCCATATGTCCCAGGGCTTCACTGTGTGCCCCAGACGAGGGGGCATTTTCACCACTTTGCAGAGGCCAACGTGCATCACAGACTTGCCTCATATGAAATGCATGACTCAAAGTACTAATACGTCCACAGAGCTGTAGAGGCATCACCACCATCAATTCAGGCCATTCCCACCAGCACAAAGTGAGCCCCTGTACTCAATGGCAATGATCCTGTCCTTTCCTACACCCCTCTCCCTGGTCCCCATCCCAGATAACTACTAGTCTACATTCTGTCTCTATGGAGTCTGCAATTCTGGTCATTTCATACTGTCAGAGGTCAAAATTTACTTAAAGATCTTAAGTAATATTCTTTTTTTCTGCGGGTCATGTGGTTTTAACTCAGGGCCTTAGGCAGTGGATCCCTGAGCCTTTTTGCTCAAGGCTTGGCGCTCTACTACTTTGAGTCACAGCTCACTAACTTTCCTGCCTGAGCTGGCTTTGAACTACAATCCTTAGATCTCAGCCTTCTGAGTAGCTAGGATTATAGGCACTCAGACATCAGTGCCTGGTGTTTAAATGATATTCTTTTTTTTTTTTTTTTCCTTTGTCAGTCGTGGGGCTTGAACTCTGGGCTTGGGCGCTAACCCTCAGTTCTTCAGCTCAAGGCGAGCTCTCTACCAAGCGCCACTTCCAGTTTTCTAGTGGTTTATTGGAGATAAGAGTCTCACAGTCTTTCCTGCCCGGGTTGGCTTTAAACCAAAATCCTCAGATCTCAGATCTCAGCCTCCTGAGTTGCTAGGATTACAGGCATGAGCCACCGGCGCCGGGCTTAAAAAATGATATTCTTAGGAGAGGAACCCAAATGTGTCTCTGATCAGATAAAGTAATATTTATTGAAATGAACTCCAGGGAATGCAAATGAGGTATTTTTCTTTTTCTTTTTGTTTTCTTTTCTTTTTGTCTTATTTATCTGTCTTTCGAAAGGCAGGGGGGACACAGAAATGGAAGGACAAAGGGTGAACAAATGCAGCAGTGGTACTCACTAGACACTATGTTGAAAATGAACCATATAACTTGTGCGTAGGGACAGGAGGGAAAACCTGAGAATGCGAGGGAAGGGGGGATACTGTCCAAAAGGAAATGTACTCTTTACCTGATTTATGTAACTGTAGCCCCTCCGTACATTACCCTTATAATAACAATAAAATAAAATAAGATCTTAAGTGGTTTATTTTGGATTCTCAAACTAGGCACCACTACCCTCCAAAGAGAAGAATAACCATTCCTAGCCCACCTCTCCAAGCTCCTGCCTCCCCATTAGTACCTACTATGTTTCAAGCACTTTTCTTGAGCAATCATTAGGGAAGGCTCTTGTACTCTAGGAAGCGGGGCTAGAGAAATTACATACAAGGCATAGTATATCAGGAAAGAAGGGTCTTAGAAAACAAGTAAGAGGCATTAGGGAGAGGGAGATGAGTTACATCTCTGCCTCTACCTCCACACTTGCCAATCCAACAACCTGGTCTTAAAGGACAAAGGACGAGTGAATGCTAGGAGAGCAGCCAAGAGTCCAGAAGATAACGGATGAAACTTCACACCACAGGAAGGAAAGCAAGAGGGTGGCTGTGAAGCAGCCTCAGGGATGGGCACAGGTGTAGGGCAACTTGCAGGAGATCAATGCAGGAGATCAATGGTGCTGGTTCAGCCCAGTTGGAAGAAGTGACTGGGTCCAGGGGAGACTTTAAAACCAAAGCCTAAGTTCGTTGTTGTGTTACATGTGTGAATCAAGAGAAAGTCAGGGATGACACAGAGTATGGGGAGGACTGCTGGGCTTTCTGGGGCTTTGCCTTCATCTCCCCATTCTACAACCTTTGCAATTACTAGATCCCAGGCACCACCCTCAACAGCTGCTCTGGTCTAACTTCTACTGTGGGTTAGCTAAAACACCACAGAACTGAAAACATTGCATTCTTTCATTTACTATCAACCAGTGGCAACTTTTTCTCAACTATGAAAGTAACAGTCTGGTCAGATTACTACATGAGTAAACATCTTTTCTGATTCTCCACATTGTCTGCTCCCTCTTTGTCCAAACACAAATGTACTCATCCTTACCAGAGAAGACACAATCCTAACACTTTCTTTTGAAGGTTCATCATGGACCTGTGAGCAGGCTCCCTCTGTCACTTCTAATTCTAGTGGCTAAAAACCAGGCCTCTGTTTTAGAGACTCTGTCTCTCCTGACTCACAACATGATCAAATTACATAGGTAAAATATTTTGCAATATTCAAAACATTACAAATCCAATAGTGGCTTCCTAATTCCCAGTTTAAAATTAAATTCTGTACCAAGTTCCACTAAACATGGAGTTGAGAGGTGAAGCTAGGCACAGCAGTAACAAGTCTGCAGTCCTAACCGCATGGGAGGACAAGGCAGGGGAGGTAGGGGGACTTGAGCCCAGGAGTTCAAGAACCAGCTTGGGCAATCCAGCAACAACCTCTAGGCAGTCTCTAAAAGTCTAACCTGGTAATGACGCTCAGGAGATCACAGACAGGACTTGCTCAATCTTCAAAAGCACATGGAATTTAAAAAAAAAAAAAAAAAAAAGCCAGGCACCAGTGGCTCACATCTGCAATCCTAGCTACTCAAGAGGCTGAGATTTTAGGATCACAGTTTAAAGCCAGCCATGACAACAAAGTCTGTGAGACTCTTATTTCTAATTAGCCACCCAAAAAGCTTGAAGTGGAGCTGTGACTCAAGTGGTAGAGTCGTAGTCTTGAAAAAAAAAAGCTCAGGGATAGCGCCCATGACCTGAGTTCAAGCCCTAGACCTAGCACCAAAAAAAAATTTAAAGAGACAAGGCTCACAAATAAAGTAATCATTTTTCATACTTTGAAAATGTTCATCTGCGCAGTCCAGCACACTTGAGTCCCTGAATGAGCAGTGTGAAGATCTAATGCTCAAAACACCATTGTGCCGGGTGCCGGTGGCTCACACCTGTAATCCTAGCTACTCAGGAGGCTGACATCTGAGGATCATGGTTCAAAGCCAGCCCGGGCAGGAACATCCGTGAGACTCTTATCTCCAGTAAACCCACTCAGAAAACCAGAAGTGGCGCTGTGGCTCAAGTGGTAGAGCGCTAGCCTTGAGCTGAAGAGCTGAGGGACAGTGCCCGGGCCCAGAATTCAAGCCCCATGACTGACCCCAAAAAAACACAAAAAACACCATTGTGTACAACAGACTGGAAAACAGAGGTTCTGCTGCCCTCAGGGGCTTTAGAGCCATAGAGTGCACATGAGAAAATAGGGCGATCACAACTTTCTTTAAATATGAGAGTTATGAAGCTAGAGGTCAACGGGCCCCAGACCCCAATGGGCCTTTAACAATTAAACTCAAAGAACACAGGAGCTAATAAGCCAGGAAAGTACTGTGAATCTGCATTCAGACTTGCAGAGAAAACATAAATATAAATATAATATGTAAATACTATATTAAAAATATAAAACAA